CCACGGTCTTCACGATGACAGGCGCCGTGTCATTGTGGGCTATGACACACACGAGCCCACGGCTCTTCATGCAGGTCCAGCCGTCCACGGAGATGGTGCAGCCGCTAGTGTTCCAACTCTCCTTCAGGGGCCTTACAAGGTCCTCGGTATCCGCTACCAGTTTTTGAAGCAAAACACCAGAAACCCTGAAGGGGGATGGGAGGGTGTATTGTTTCCCGAAGGCAACAGCCGCATCCACGAAGTTCTGCACGGCTGGCGACTTGGACGTGTGGAACGCCCAATCGTTATCAGCCACTGCAGCGGCCCATAGGTAGTCCAGTCGAGCGCGTGCAGAGTCATCCACCATGTCGCGGATGTCCCGCTGTCGAGTGCGGCGAGAGGGCTGGATGTCTAGGGTTGAAGTGGAGCCAAGGGTTGACGGAGTGGTGCTTCCAGAAAGCTCATTAGTAGCTGCTTCCTCGCGAAGTTTGATGGCGACTTCGTGGGTGCACGGCGTCACATTCTTATCTTTGTCCTTCGGCGTCCCATAGATGTGCTCTCCTATGCGTGTAGCATTAGCAGTCACGGATTCGGAGCAGTGTACGCATTTCGCCGTTAAGGTGCCGTCTGGTCCCTTAGTCGTTGTAACGTGCTTCCACAGCGGCGATTTCTGCCTCGCCATGGCGTACGTCCTGACAGGCACGAACCCTAGTGGAGCACCCTGAAGACTAAACTAGAGCAGAACTATGCTCAGAATATGATTAGGAGTGGCTAAACCGAGCTCCTAAGTACCTCGTTGTGGAAGGTGGGTGTGTTGTGTCGAGTGGGTTTTTGAAAAGGTTGAGTTCACGGGATGTATTCTGATTGGTTAGATTGGTTTCGCATCGCGACTTTTGGATGTGTCCCGACTGCGAGCGAACCAAACCTTTGCCGTGCGAAAATGTTTAACGAAAATCACGAAACGTGGGGTCGAATGGGTACCGTTCGCCACATGTTAGAATGTCGCGCCTCGGGAAATTGTACACGTTCCGCTTTGGCGACTCATGCCAACGAGTTGGCGAAACACGTAAACTCGAAATTGGCCTCGCCAAATGCCCAAATGTCGCGACGCGAAAGAGTCGTGACATTTGCGACGCAGGGAAAAAACACATTCGTGTGTACGGTTGTGAGAGAAAATCACGGTTGGGAGAAATGTGCGTGTGACACTATGATTCCTGATATACACAGACCCGGTTTCAATTTTTCGGTCGAATTATACGGTCGTATTTTTGAACCAAACACAAAAAACCTCAATCCACCGTATTAAACCGTATTTTACGGTCGTATTATACGATTCCGTATTATACGGTGAAAATTCAATAATACGGTCGTAATTTTGAACCTTGCACCTGACTCACCCACCTGAGTCACCCACCTGACTCACCCACCTGACTCACCCACCTGATTCACCCACCTGAGTCCCACTTGACTCACCCACCTGAGTCACCCACCTGACTCACCCACCTGACTCGCCCACCTGAGTCACCCACCTGACTCACCCACCTGACTCACCCACCTGACTCACCCACCTGAGTCACCCACTTGACTCACCCACATGAGTCACCCACCCGACTCACCCACCTGAGTCACCCACCTGAGTCACCCACTTGACTCACCCACCTGAGTCACCCACCTGACTCACCCACCTGAGTCACCCACCTGAGTCACCCACCTGACTCACCCACCTGAGTCATCCACCTGACTCACCCACCTGGGTCACCCACCTGGGTCACCCACCTGAGTCACCCACCTGAGTCACCCACCTGGGTCACCCACCTGACTCACCCACCTGACTCACCCACCTGACTCACCCACCTGAGTCACCCACCCGACTCACCCACCTGAGTCACCCACCTGACTCACCCACCTGAGTCACCCACCTGACTCACCCACCTGACTCACCCACCTGATTCACCCACCTGAGTCACCCACTTGACTCACCCACCTGAGTCACCCACCTGACTCACCCACCTGACTCACCCACCTGAGTCACCCACCTGACTCACCCACCTGACTCACCCACCTGACTCACCCACCTGAGTCACCCACTTGACTCACCCACCTGAGACCCACCCGACTCACCCACCTGAGTCACCCACCTGAGTCACCCACTTGACTCACCCACCTGAGTCACCCACCTGACTCACCCACCTGAGTCACCCACTTGACTCACCCACCTGAGTCACCGACCAGACTCACCCACCTGACTCACCCACCTAAGTCACCCACCTGACTCACCCACCTGACTCACCCACCTGACTCACCCACCTGAGTCACCCACTTGACTCACCCACCTGAGTCACCCACCCGTCTCACCCACCTGAGTCACCCACCTGACTCACCCGCCTGAGTCACCCACCTGAGTCACCCACCTGAGTCACCCACCTGATTCACCCACCTGAGTCACCCACTTGACTCACCCACCTAACTCACCCACCTGAGTCACCCACTTGACTCACCCACCTGAGTCACCCACCTGACTCACCCACCTGACTCACCCACCTGAGTTACCCACTTGACTCACCCACCTGAGTCACCCACCTGACTCACCCACCTGAGTCACCCACCTGACTCACTCACCTGAGTCACCCACCTGACTCACCCACCTGACTCACCCACCTGAGTCACCCACCTGACTCACCCACCTGAGTCATCCACCTGAGTCACCCACCTGACTCACCCACCTGAGTCACCCACCTGAGTCACCCACTTGACTCACACACCTGAGTCACCCACCTGACTCACCCACCTGAGTCACCCACCTGACTCACCCACCTGACTCGCCCACCTGAGTCACCCACCTGACTCACCCACCTGACTCACCCACCTGACTCACCCACCTGAGTCACCCACCTGACTCACCCACCTGAGTCACCCACTTGACTCACCCACCTGAGTCACCCACCTGACTCACCCACCTGACTCACCCACCTGAGTCACCCACCTGACTCACCCACCTGAGTCATCCACCTGACTCACCCACCTGGGTCACCCACCCGGGTCACCCACCTGAGTCACCCACCTGAGTCACCCACCTGAGTCACCCACCTGAGTCACCCACCTGACTCACCCACCTGACTCACCCACCTGAGTCACCCACCCGACTCACCCACCTGAGTCACCCACCTGACTTACCCACCTGAGTCACCCACCTGACTCACCCACCTGACTCACCCACCCGAGTCACCCACCCACCTGATGGTGCTGCTATTGTTGGTGCTGCTGCTCCGCGCCACAATCACCCCCCTTGCAGTAATCAGCTGGACGGACACATGAATCATGATACTGGAATCATGGGCCACGAGAAGGGTGTTCAACAGCTGCCACTTCAATCGGGCAGAGTGCTTCCAATACCTCCTCATTGTGAGGCAGTTCGATTAAGTCTGGGCAATATGAGAAAAGATAGGGCACTAGTGTGTTGAATTTTTTGGGTAAGATGAGATAATTCAGGGCACTCAGGTTAAATGGTATGAATGGATCTGGCCAATCCGAACAACGCTCCCGTTTCCAACACAGAAGGTTGCAGGTCGCTTGCTTCTTGAGTGGAAGCTGCTCTGCAGCCCACTTAATGCAGAAGTTGCATGATTGGTTTCCCCCCTCCCCCCATCCCCCACATGTTGCAGATTGATGGCCCTTTCATCCCATCAGCTCTGCCCTACCAACCACCAGTTCCGCCACTGCCATTTATCACTAACACCCGCAGTATCGTACTGAATGGCTCTGTGGAAGGTGGCTGCCATCCGTGAGAGCTTGGCACTTGAAGGCGCCTCAACTGGCTTCCTACAAAGTGAAGCTGTGTGCAAACATCTCAGATGTCTTGCCGTGCTGGAAAGTTATACGCTAGGGATAAAATGTACGAAACAGTTTCGCTTGCCACCATGCACAAGGTATCGGCCATGGTAGCTTTCTCCATTCAACAAGAGATGCTTTCGCTCTAACATCTGATACTGGAAAGGTTCCGCCGATACCTACACTCGTTCACAAACTGATTGCTTAGATCTGTCAATAGAAGACCGTACGGAAATTGTTCAGCATCCTCTATGGCAAGTGACTTACAACTCATTTCTGTAGCAAGCGTTGGAGGTGAGGAAGAGCACGGGGGGGGGGGGGAAGCAGATCCAGCTGCTAAATTACGGATCATGGCGAATCAATTCGACACCGCCAAGACAGAAACGCCAGCTGGCACACCTCCTGAGAGACGACATGCGTGTTGCATCATTTACTGGTAGCCACCGCTTGGAATCAGGACTCGCCTCATCACATCCCAACACCAGATACAGATGCTCTAGAATGATTATGTCTCAACAAATACTAGAAGCAAATCTCATGTCCGATCCAATTTAAGTGCCGGCCTCCGTTGGAGTGGCACTGCACTGCACTGAACAGCAGTCAACCTTGTGCTCTTGCACTTCTGCCCCATAGTAGCACGTTGCGCAAGCCCCTAAAACTTCAGGCACATGCTTGTAGATATGCACCCTTAGACCAGTGCAGAGCCAGTGAGGTTAAGAGTGCAAGTGCAAGAAACGGGAAAGGGTGAGTGAGAACAACTTGGAAAATGTCAGAAGGGAAAAGAGCGAGGAATGAAAGTCATTGTACAGTTGTCTTTCTTGAACAAAGCTGAGCAAGGCATTTAGTATGGCCATCCGCCAGCTACTGCTGCACAAGGTGAATGACCGGCAGTATGCACAGCAAACCACAACCCAAGTACATGCAAAGAGAGGGCTTGCACACACCCTCGTTGCTTGCAACCATGCTGGCACACCAGACCGGCAAAGGGCATGATGCCTCAGTAGGTCCGTACCTAACAAACACCTTGTCTTACACCCCACCGCTGACCTTGAATACTCACCTTGCCACTCACCTAACCTACCCACCTTGCCTCCCCATCTTGCCTCCCCATCTTGCCTACCCATCTTGCCTCCCCACGTTGCCTCCCCACGTTGCCTCCCCACATTGCTTCCCACATTGCCTCCCCACGTTGCCTACCCACCTTGCCCACTCACCTTGCTAATCGTCGTGCCACTATTGCCGCTGCCATCCTTGCTCTCATCCTTCCCACTCTTCTTCCCGCTGCTCCTGCCGGGGCATGTAAGCTTGTGGGAGGGCCAGTGCGCCTTTTGGCACTCTCTGCTGCAATACGCTACCTTGCCACACCCACCGCACCTCCTCAGCTTCACAGAACCACCTTCCACCCTCGCACACCCTGCAGTACCGCACACACGGCCTTGGACATCTGAAGCAGCAGCAACAGTAGCAGCACCGATGCTTATTGCAGTGGGGTTGGGAGGGGCAGTAAGACGAGAAGCCATAGCAGCAGCAGAATGGGTGGAAGCAGCAGCAGGAGCGGATGGAGCAGCATGGGAGGCAGGGTGGTAGCACGGCTCCCCCAGCAGCATCTCTCGCAGACATGCCACCAGATTCACTCCACCCAGCCACGGCTTCCGATAAGCCGGCACCTTCCCCTTCTTCCTCTTCTTCTCACTGCTGTTGTTGTTGCTGCTGCTGCTGCCACCCATCCACTCACAGTTGCTGCTCCCCCTGACAGAACCACGTTGCCCTTGCCGCCCCTCACAGTACCTCGGAGTGATTTCTGCCTCAAGAATCCATGTGATGTCACACTCCTTAGCCGCTCTCTCCTGCTTCCTGCTGCCCCTGCACTCCTCACTCTCTCCATCGCTTCCCTCTTTGAAACTCCACACAGCCATTGCTGCGCAATACCACATCCGCACCTCCTCCCACACCTCTCCACCGTTCTCCTGATCCACCTCACCATCCCAGAGCCCTTGCCCCTTCACCCTCCCACCTTTCCCCCTTTTCTCCACACCCTTTTTACGCGCACCTGACTGCACCAACTGCTCATGTCTACTGCATTCCCGCTCCACCTCATAGCTTGTCAGAAGAGGACGACCCCACCACACGGCCATGTGAATGAGGAAGTACAGAGGCACCTGCTCCGCCCGGCTGAGCAGCATCTGCAGGTTCACAGGCCTGGGCAGGCGTGCAGGGAGGTCCAGGCACTCAACCAGTTTGTCGAAGCCAGGGGAGGATGGCGGGAAGGCTGAGAGCACGCGGGAGAAAAGATGGCTGACTGGGCGGTAAGCGAAGTTGGCAATGAGAGCAGCCATGCACACAGACTGTATGAATTCTGCAGAGCAGGTGCAGCACTCGGTGCATGCCGGAGGGTCCATGATATTCCCGTTAAACCCCACCAGGAAGTCCACATCTGCCTGGCAGCGAACGATGGGAAGCTTCCTCCTGGCGGGCGGTAGTATTACTCTCTGCTCATCATTCCGAGATGCTTCACCTCTCCCACGTGTTCTGCTCTGTTCGGCTTCCACACCAGCTCCTTGGCGTACTGCCTTACAGCCTTTCCCTCTTGCACGCCTGCACCTCCCTCCTGCTTCAGGTATGTGCTGACGAGGGTGCTGGGTCAGCTTCTCACCTGCTTCACCACGCTCCTCCACAATCCCAAGCCCAACACACCTCTCCTTTCGGTTGACAGGAAACCTCACAGCAGCTTCGCCGTCCCCAGGCCACTCCTCCCACTCTAAAGGAATGCCGCATCCCTCCAGAGGCTTGGGGATGGCGCCGAACCTGACCAGCAGGCTCGGAAGGTCCCGAAGCGGGTGGCGTATGGGCCGGACGTTGCTCTGAGGGCAGTCCTTGAAGCACCGTTTCTCCAAGATGGAATCTGAGCCGTAGACTCGGACCCACTGCAAGATGCAACCGACCCGATAGGTGAGTGCAGCAACAACAGGGCCTCTATTGACAGGCACGAGTACAGCATTCATATCAGCGCTTGCAGCAACAGCAGCAGCAGCAGGCGGGGTTCTTCCTACATCTGCTGCTGCCACTCCATTCATCCCCCTTGTCTGCTTCAAGCCATGCTGCAGCAGTCTCTTCCTAGCCACCTGAATAGCTGCACTCTCTACCTGCATCTTGCTCACATTGTTCCCATCAAGGAAGTACAGCTTTCCATCCTTCCAGTGCTCTGGTTGAGATAAGACTGTGGTGACAGCAAGGGCGAAATCGGTCGCATTGACACCACTCACATGCATACCCCTCGGAGCACTGCTGCTCTCACTGCTGCTGCCAGAAATGCTGACGCTGCTGCTGCTACTTCTTCTGCCATTGTCACTGCCGCCACTGCCACCACTGCTGCTTCTGCTGCTGCTGCTGCCCCCCTCACTGCAGTGGCTGCACCTTAACTCCCGCCCTTCCCCCCCTCAATGCTGCAGAATCCAAGCCATGCCATCCGCATACCTCTCCCACACACGCCCCTTCAGATGCTCCCTCCAGCTCAAGTCCGAACTAACCCTCCCGCACTTGCCAGCAACCCTATCAATCTCTACCTTGCTCCCTGCCTCTTCCTCTCCGTGTCTCCCATCATCCTTCCCATGTGACGCCTTCCCCTCCACATGCGCCTTCTCAAAAGCCTTCCCCTCAGCTCCCCCCTTCCGTTTCCCCTCCTTATCCACCTTCTCAGCAGTCTTTCCCCCAGCTCCCCCCCTCCTCTCTGCATGCGCCTTCTCCAGCCCGCCTGACAGCAATTGCTGCACAAAGAACCCAAACCCCTCCTGCAGATCAGCACTCTCCTTCACCCCCAGCACCTGCACCAGCATGGACGCAAAGTTGTCACACTCCCTCTGCCTGCTCGCCCCCAGCTCAGTGGCGATTGCTGGCCAGGCCGACGAACGCAAGACCAAGTGTGCTTGCCATAAAGTCACAAGGCGGGGGGATCTTGCTACAAGCACAAGGAACGTTGAGAAGCTGACAGCACGGCGGTAGGCAGCCCAGCAGCTGCTGCAGCGCCAGCAGCAGGACCACACTGTAGAAGCCAAAGGGACAGGAGGAGCACCAGGAACAGCACGGGCAGCAGCAGGGGTAGCAACAGGGGCAGCAGGAGCAGGAGACGAGACATCAGCAGCTAGAGCAACTGTTGTAGTATCCAAAATAGCAGGCAGGCGGGATCTGACTTTCTCGAGGTTCATGAGCACACCCACACGAGGCTCAGCCATCCACTCGAGAAACATCCCTTCTGTGCAAAGGCAAGGCGCCCTCTCTGCCTTCCACGCAAACTGCTCCTGAGAAAACATTTCATGATGCTGCTGCTGCTTGGGATCTGCTGCGGGGATGCAACAAGGCTGCAGATTGCGCAGGTGGAGACGCAAGTCCTCCAGGTTCTTTATGGCAAGTGCTCGCTGTGCTCGCGGACTCACTGCACGGTGAAAGCAACACTCGCACAGATCCGCATCCCACCCATTCGTCACGTCCAAGTAGTGAACCATTTCCGCCCGACACAACAGCTGAAGCGGCTTTGGAATTTCCTCGGCTCTAGATTTCTCTGCTGCCCCTCCGTTTGCCTGATCGGGCTGATCCGGTTCACCCTGGTCGATCTGGACTCCAGAGCAAGGTGCCCTCTGCCGCATCATAAGAGCCTTCACCCGCTCTTCCAACTCCTGAACTGTCAGCAACAGGCTTTCGACTGTCACAGCATATTCCTCTTCCTCGTCCTCTTCCTCTTCCTCGTCCTCTTCCTCTTCCTCTTCCTCTTCCCCTTCCTCTTCCACTTGCTCAACCGCTTGCTCTGCTGCGCCTCGGTTTGCCCGAGTTGACTGACCTAGTCGGCCTAGCTGAAGTGTTGACTGACCTAGTCGACCTTGTACAACCGCTGTCCATGTACCACTCCTTCCCCTTAAGGCCCTTTGCAAGCAGGCATGCTCCCGAAGCTCTTGCAACATTGGCCTTGTGGGCTCCCCCGAGGATGACGTCGTCGTCGCTGGTTTCCGCTTCGGTGGCGTTGATCTTTGCAGGTACGTGATTTTTTTGCTGCTGCTGCCCTCCCCTGAAGCTAATCCGCCTCGAAGTCGCTGTCCTTCTCTGATTGTCCCTGTTGCCTTTCCTTTGAAATTCTTGCTTCTTGGGTTGGAGTAGCAGTCTGCAGCCTTGTGCCCTTTCTTCCCACAGTGGAAGCATGCTCCGAATGATTTTCCAGCCCCGGTTGCGTTCAATATAGCAGGTTTGTCGTTGCTGAAGTTTTCCGGCAGCGCCTCCCTTCGCTCTTCCTCAACACGTATAAGCGCCACGTCTTGAAGGGATTCCACCAGGTCCGTCATGTCCGTCGGGCGTTTGCAGGCCAGCATCCGCTTCTCTGCTGCCCATGATTTCGGTAGGCCACCAATGATGTAGCTCATCATTTGCTTCTCCGATTCGGGCACTCCCATAGCCGTCAGGTCGTCGTTGTAGCCTTTAGCACGGCCCACGTAGTCCACCACCGTCTCGGAAGGTTCCATGGCCAGCAATATGAGATTCGTCCTCACTGCTGTCATCTTTGCCTCGTTTTTCCCGAGGTACACTCGTTCCATGTACGCCCACGCCTTCGCTGTTGCGTTGTCCTCCTCAGAGAACGGGTCGAGTCGTGCTGCGATTGAATCCGAGACCGAATGGCAGAGTTGAAAGAAAGCTTGTTGGCTTCTTTTCTTGAACACTTTTTTCTCTTGTGCGGTTGCAGGTGCGGGTCCATCTTCCTTCGTCGCTGCCTCTGGGTTGTAGAAATGCCACAAATCTACCTCACGGGCGCGTCGCATGAACTTCAACCTCCATGTGCCGTAGTTCTCTCCATTGAAGCGTTGAGCTTCACTTAGGCCAATTGTCGGTTTGGCCACGATTTGCCCCTTAGCAAGGGCATCAAGCAGACTCTGCAGCTGCGCACTTCCAGTGTTCACGGAAGACCCTGAACTGGCCTCTCCATCTCCATTCCCCATGTCGTTGAATATCCGTCCTCTCCAATTACTCTAAAAATTATAACGCCTCCAACGCTTTTATAATAAGGCTCGACGCGATGACAACCAAGCTCTGATACCAGCTCTTAGTTTTGGTATAGCCTCCGGCTAGCGTTGAAGGTAGTAAATGCTTGGAGAGGATTTCTGGTTTTTTAAGACTGATTTCACTCAAAACAGATAAGTACAAGGAACTGATTGAAAACAAACACATTTAAGCATTTTGAAATGTGATGTGCGCCTCGCGTAACGCGTCATCCGCGTTTCAGCCCGAGTCGCATGCAGAACCGATTTCGGTAACCGACACCAGAACCGAAACCTGGTTGTCTCATTCGCACCGAACACGGTTCGGTTGCGGTTGGACATTTTAGGTTACGGAAATGTCTTCTCGACATTTCCTGAAACCCACTCTCCCACCATTCCGTTTTTCCCGCTTTCTTCTCGCCTTCCCTCCTTAGCTCCTTAGCATGCAGCCCCACCGTTATAGCTGTCGGTTCTCCTCATTAGGTCAACATTTCCCACCGTTCATAGTGTCGTCCTACCATCCCTAGGTGAAGCGCGTAGGTTGGTAGGCACTAGGGAAGTGGCGAACCACCCTAACAATCTCCCCCGTGGTTTGCCAGCTGCCACTCTCCTATGCTCCTGTGGTTACCATGTAACCAACCTTCTTCTCTTGCTGAGCTTGTCCGTACGTTGGTGTAGCATCTCGGGTTGCTGCTCCGCTGCTCCCCCGCAAGTCCTGCAAGGTACGTATGCCGACAAAATACTTGCAAAACTCGAAAGTTTGCCTTTGGTAGCACCTTGGTGAGGAAATCCGCTGGCTGTTCATGTGTTCCCACGTGCACGAAGGTGAATGCCTTCTTCTGTAGCTGCTCCCGTACCCAATGGTACCGCACGTTCATGTGTTTTGTGCGCCCATGCCAGTTGTCGTTTCGTGCGAGGTCAATTGCTGCTTTGCTGTCCGATTTGATCGTTGTGGGTCCTTCAAATTTGACCCCCATCTCTTGAAGTAGGCGCCTCAGCCACACACCCTCTTGGCATGCATAAATCAGCGCCATGTATTCGGATTCTGCGGTGGACAGAGCGACGTCAGTGAGTTTCTTGGCTTGCCACATGATTGCCGTTCCACCAAGGAGGTAGACATAGCCATAGGCTCCCCTCCCATCAATCTTGTCTGATCCGTGTGAGGCATCAGCGTACCCCACTAGCTCTAGGCTCTCCTCTCCACCTTCAAACAGCAGCCCCTCATCGTCCCGCTGCAGGAGGTAAGTGATAGTCCGCTCCATCTCCTTCCACCTGCGTCCCTCTTGCTGCAACACTCTCTGCCCAAGAAAGCTTGCAGCGTAGGCCACATCAACCCATGTGCATGACACCGGGTACATGACTGAGCCTACCATGGATTGGTAAGCTTTGAGCGCTCTCTCCTTGTCGCCCCATGCCTCAATCTCTGCTCCCACATCGACTTCCTTGTCCGCAAGGCCGCTGAGAGGTGTTGTCACTGGTTTGGTCTTGCATTGACCTCCAAACCTCTCCCGCAACCTTTGAAAGTACTTCTTCTGGTATAGCAGCAACTTCTTCTGCTCCTTGTTCCTCTCTAGGTTCATTCCAAGGAAGAGAGTAGTCCTTGGGATCTTCTTCACCTGAAATACAGCTGCAAGGTGAGTGCACACCTCCTCCACCTTCTCTTCCTTTGCTCCAGCCACTAGGATATCATCCACGTAGAGGAGTAGGAACACCTTGTTCTCCCCCTCTCCCTTCCAGTAGAATGCACGGTCACATTGACTCTTGATGAACCCTCCTTTTTCCAGCTGCGCATCCATAGCTAGGTACCACTCCCGTGGGCTTTGTTTCAACCCATAAAGTGCTTTGATGAGTTGGCACTTTCTGTCCGTGCCGTCCTCACACCCCGGTGGCTGATTCATGTAGATAGTCTCCTTCAAAATGCCATAGAGGAAGGCATTTTTTATGTCCAGCTGCACCATGAAGTACCCGGGTGCCGTCACCACCTTAAGCATGGTCCTTGCCGTTGTTAACTTGCTAACGGGTGCGTAGAGATTTGGTCGTAGTCCTCTCCTTCTACTTGAGTGTAGCCTTTAGCCACAAGACGTGCCTTGAAGCGTTCAAGTTGCCCCATGTCTCCCGTTTTTATCTTGAAAATCCAGCGCACTCCCACTGCTTTCCTCCCTTCCGGCATGTTCACAAGCTCCCATGTCCCCCTTTCAGCCAAGGTATCAAGTTCCTCCTGGATTGCAGCCCTCCACTGCTCCTTGTTTGGCCCGGTCAGTGCCTCTTCAATGGTAAGAGGCTCGGTGGGCAGCTTGTAGCTTTCCACCTTCCCCTTTGATAGTAATGCCGTTGCCGTGGTGGTAAGGAGGAGGTGGGTGTGAATGTCCTTGCAGCAGGTCAGAAGCATTTGGGCATACTTGGGATTGGGTTTCTTGACCCGTTTCCCTTTACCCATCTCCTCATTCTCATTTTCGGCTCCACCTTTCTCTGCTGCTGCATTATCATCCGTTCCTTGTTGCACGGAATCTCCTTCAATCTCTCTTCCGATGATGATCGCTCCGTCCACAAGTAGGTTTTCAATCTCTACTGCAGCCTTTTCATTGTCCCCCGTGTCAATGATGCGGCATGGGTCGGAGTACCCCGTGCTGGCAGATTCAGCCACACTCTCTTCCACATCTGAAATTTCAGCTTCTTCCTCACCGGCTTCATTCGTTGAGTTGTCACTCGCTTCTTCTCCCTTATCATTGTCTTCTTCACCCTCTTCCACACCAGTTGAAGGTGAGGACAACTCCTGGACCTCCCACACCCAATCAAAACCCGGCGTAGTGTGGTCTTTGTAGTCGTCATTGTCACCGCTTCCATTGGCTGCCCCTATCCCCTCCTTCTCACTCCCATCTATCATCTCCTCCAATGGAGTTGGTGCTCCTGCCGCTTCCTTTGCAACAGCTCCTTGTTTCCGTCTCTTCCACTCCAAGTAGGTGTCTTGCTCGTAGAAGGTAACATCTCTGGTTGCCGTGACTTTTCCGGTCTCCACATCGCGTATCACCCACCCTTTGCTCTCCGGGCAGATTCCCAAGTGAATCCCCCACTTGGTCCTTGGGAGAAGCTTATGGTCGGGTCCCGTCGCCTCTCGGTATTGCGTCATGCAGCCCCAAACGCGTAAGAACTCCAGATTCGGCTTCCTCTTGTAGAACGCTTCGTGAGGGGTAATATCCGCCGCTAGTCCCTTTGTCGGTAAACGGTTTTTCAGCCAACATGCCATGCCTAGCGCATCTCCCCAGTAGTGAAGAGGCAGGTTGCTATCCGCGAGCAAGCTCCTTACACCCTCCAGCAGTGATCGGTTCACTCGCTCCGCAATGCTATTGTGTTGAGGTGTGTACGGGACTGTGAGCTGTCTTCGTATGCCCTTTGACTTCAGGTACATGTTGAACTCGGTGTCGACGAATTCTCCCCCGTTGTCCGTGCGTAACACCTTCAGATTCTTGCCGCTTTGCCTTTCCGCTTCCGCTTGCCAGTCAAGAAAGCTCGTGAGGACTTCCGACTTGTTCTTGATCTCAGTCACCCACGTGTGTCGTGTGCCAAGGTCGGTGAAGGTAACGAAATACTTGCTGCCATGCCGTGAAGCCACCCGCATCGGTCCACATACGTCGGCTGCCACAATCGCCAACGTCTCGTATGGCTCACGAACTCCGTGCTTGGGATGTGGTGCCTTCGTTGCCTTTGCTTCCACGCAAGTGCTGCACTTCAGATTTTCCTCTCCACCCTCGGCTACCTTCACTCCTGCTGCCATGTTCTTCTTGACCAGCTGCTTGATTCAAGTGTGACCAGCGTGCCCCATCCTCCTGTGCAGCAGGTTGACGTCCACCGTACTCACTGCTGCTGCCATAGGAAGCGCCTGCTGCTGCAGCTCTTTAATCGGTACCTTTTCCAGCTTGTTGCGGAGCTCCTCTCGTGCTACCTTTCCCGCTTCCGGTTCAGCCAGGTACGTGGTCTTCTCCCCACTCTGTTTCTCGTGAAGCTTCATCTCGTACAACCCCTGCTTGCGTGATCCCTCCGCTATCACCTTCCAATCCGAACCGAACACCCATATGCTGCCGTTGTCACGAAAAGTCTTGCACCCACCACTGTCTAACTGCGACTGGCTTATGAGGTTGAGTGTGAGCTTGTCCACCAGCAGCACGTTGTCCAGCTTCACCTCACCATAAGCACTTTGCAGCACTAGGTCTCCTTCCCCTTTCACAGGAAGTTTCCTCTCGTCTCCCAACAGCACATACGGTATCGGTGATGCTCTGAATTTTTTCAGCCACTCCTTTTGGTTCGTCATGTGTTGGGTACAACCGCTGTCCATGTACCACTCCTTCCCCTTAAGGCCCTTTGCAAGCAGGCATGCTCCCGAAGCTCTTGCAACATTGGCCTTGTGGGTTCCCCCGAGGATGACGTCGTCGTCGCTGGTTTCCGCTTCGGTGGCGTTGATCTTTGCAGGTACGTGATTGTTTTGCTGCTGCTGCCCTCCCCTGAAGCTCTTGCTCATCGGGTTGCTGTAGCAGTCGATTGCTTTGTGCCCAAATTTCCCGCAGTGGTTGCAGTTTCCAGCAAATCCGCCTCGAAGTCGCTGTCCTTCTCCGCTTGTCCCTGTTGCCTTTCCTTTGAAATTCTTGCTTCTTGGGTTGGAGTAGCAGTCTGCAGCCTTGTGCCCTTTCTTCCCACAGTGGAAGCATGCTCCGAATGATTTTCCAGCCCCGGTTGCGTTCAATATAGCAGGTTTGTCGTTGCTGAAGTTGTCCGGCAGCGCCTCCCTTCGCTCTTCCTCAGCACGTATAAGCGACACGTCTTGAAGGGATTCCACTAGGTCCGTCATGCTATAGTCTGTGTAGGCTGTAGTGGGGTAGCTCATATGGGGTACAACACTTTAGGGTTTCCTACTTGTACTCCTCATGCTGTTCAATGCAATCATTCCTTGTTCTTTCACACAAACCACTCTCTCGCCTTGCTGATGCTCAACTTCCGCTTCAGAACCATTTGCGCCAGCGGCTCAACCGCACACAAAAACAGGTACAGGGCGAGGGGGCAGCCCTGCCGGACCCCGGAGACCACCTCCACGCCTTCTCCCATCCAGCCATTAACTAACAACCATGTCTGCGTTCCCGCATGCAGGCCTTCCACCCAGCGCACCAATCAATCAGGGAAGCCCATCGCCCGCAACGTCCGGAAGAGGTGGCCGCGGGAAACAGAGTCAAGCGCTTTTTTGAAGTCGACCAAGAGGAGGAACCAATACTCATTATCATTCCGCGCCGTCTCAAAATGTCAGCGACAAGCCCCACCGCATCCGTCAGGTGCCTTCCTGAGTTATCCCCCTTCTTGTGAAGCAGTATTTTAACTGCCTCTTTTACTTCCGTTGAGAGAACTGCTGATGAAGGAAAATCCTTGGCTAAGGCCATGAAGCCCTTACCCAGCAGGTCCCAGTGGGCTTCAAATAGCTCCTTTGGTAGACCATCTTTCCCCGAGGACTTGTTTTCTGCCATCGCACTAAATGCCTTTTTCACCTCCTCCTCCGTCCAGTCTGCTGCCAGTTCATCTGCATCCCAGACCCTCAGCGTCGTTCCCTGCGCAGGACGCAAGTCGTCTTCCAGCTGACACTGGTGTCGTCCGAAGATTTCCGCGAAAAATTCAGACACCGCACGAAGAATATCTTGCAAAGTGGAGACGGCACGTGCCGCTGTCTGCAACTCCGCAATCTGGGTACTCGTCTTCCTAGCCTGGACCATTGCCGTCAGGTGCTGTGATGCCACTTCCCCTCAGAGTTCCAACCACATACCGGACATCAGTAGCAGCTTGTCCTTTCTTGACGCCTAGTATTCTCGCAGTTGCGCCTCCTTCACTACTAACCGTGCACTTGTTGCCTTGCAGGACGGATCCCGCATCATTTCCTGACGAAGCTCCACAACCTCATCAGCCAGATGAGTCACCGTCGCCTTCACCCGCTTGCCTTCCTCCTTTGCAAATGCACGAAGCCCAACTGCCAACCTCGAAAGAAGCAGCTCGAAACTGCTACCGTTCGTGACAGCACACTTCGCTACCATCGCTTCCACAATCCGTCGAACCCCATGCTTGTGGACCATTGATGCGTGAAGTCTCCAGAGGCCGGGACCGATGCAGAGCTTGGCGTCAATCCAAAGGGCCACCCGGATTGCAAAGTTGTGATCTGATCTATAGTCCTCCGGCATCACATGAGAAGCCTGGATTAGGTGAGGTAGGAGAGAGTGAGAGATGAGAGCCCAATCAATGCGCGTGTTGGCTTGCTTGGCCTGGGAAAAAGGTAAACTCTTGCTTTCTTAGATAAAGCGTACGGAAAGCGACTAAGAGCTGGAAGTTAGTGCAGCGGGTGAGGAGCCTATCGTTTTCTGCAGTAGAACCTATGCGCGATGATTTATTTAATATCGGGTCCTCTATAATGTTAAGATCGCCGATGATGAGCAGGTGATTGGATGGCGGGATCGAGTCTACGTCCGGACCGAGGGAGTCACGGAGAAAAGTTGCACGGGAAGTCGCATTGGCCGGGAGGTAACAAGCTATGATGGTAAGCTGCAACCCAAGACCATGGATCTTAGCGGAAACTTATCTACCAGACCAATGGATTAACACGCTGGAGAAGCTAAGTAAAGGCGACCGCCAGCCTTCGACCTAGGTGAGGTTGCTACTGCTAAGCTGTAAGTTGGGTGGGACCATATGGGTGATCGGAAGCTATCCCAGTGCCAGAGAGGACAATAATGTCTGCTGCTTGTCTGGACCTGTCGAGGACACGCTGCTATTTGGTCTTATCTCCTAGGCCGTTGATGTTAAGGTCTGCGAAGCTGATAAGGCTTCTTTTACTCATATAATAGCAACTTGAGAACCCCTACGCATCCACAGGGTAAAGAAGAGAACAGCACCGACTACTGAAAGGGCTACTGCTGCTGCTACATCCTGTCTACCGAGCTGCTCTTGCCTCAGAGCCCATACTCCTTCGTCGTGACGTTGAGAATTGCTTTCTCAAGCGAGGCACGAGTCGCAGATCCGAGCTTCTCCAGATGAATGAGGTGATTTGCGGAGGTGACATGTTCTGCCGCATTCATGAAGTTTCCCCCCTTCGCCTTCCCACAACCCACTAGCGTGCAGATCCACTCCTCCTGGTCCCCTCCAGTGGAGATCAGCACCATGAATGGGTCCTATAGGATAGGAGTTATCAGCGGTGAAGCCGAAAGGGATGTAGCTGCACGGTAAAACTTGGCGGTTAGCACAAGAGCAAGCACAGTGGTAAGCATGATCATACAGAGAAAAGCAGTTACCATTAATACGATGAACCCTCCCCAAGGTAAGGTTCCACTTCCCTATGTTGTTTTGCCGCTCCGTAGGGAAAGCATCATGATTGATGTCATATTGCTGTCCACCATAGAGCCGGCAAGACAGCGAAGGAAAGTGGACCAAGAAGCGACGACCGATCTCCAGAGGATCCTAAAAAACATGGCGCCAGCGGTATCTATCGCCGGGTTGAGGGATCACAAGACCTTTGATGACATCAGTATCAGCTCTGGTGACAAGGTGTAGAACACGGTGGAAGCAGACACCATCCTTGAATGCTAACTGCATCCAGTTCTGTAGCTGGTAAACCAACATCAGCTCCCGCAGCATCTCCGACGTCTTCGTCGCAGTTACATCCGGATCACCACTTCAATCGCTTGCTTGTTCATCGCACGCTCTCGCACAAAATCAGGGTCGTCACGAACGGTATTGCTGAGCACCAGACACTCACTGCGTGCCAGTGAGCTGAGGACATAAAGGGGCAATGGTTACCAATCGGATTTGCTCTGTGTACTACAAAAACACGTCTTCTTAATCTCGGTGGAAAACTAAATGTTGTTGTGCAAGTGCATAGGCAGCAGAACGACAGCAGTAATCATGGTACTATATCGAATAGACCGAGTGCATGACGGAAGTGATTAGGTTGTGGGACTTGTGTTCTTGGTGCCACAAGACCCGGTGGTCTTATCCGGGAGTATTGGCGATCACCATCGCTCATTGCCTCCAAAGCATCCTGCACCACCACAAGGTGATGCTGCTGGACAATGGACAGTTCGTGTACCTAAATTTGCCGGCGCTGGTCGAGAGGATGCTGATGTTCAAAGAGCTTGTACATCCAATGATGTTAAGAAAAACTAGTATTCTAAGCCGAATCGCATCAGCATAGTCAGTGGTGACTAGCAAGGGATAAATATTATGTTATGCCTAATGCCAATAAACATACTTAGGATGAGGAGAGAGTGATATGAAGAGAGTGAATAGTTATGAGCAATGTACTCTTGATGTGCAAAGGAAAAATCAAATGTGTGCTGATATGAAGTGGCTCTCAATCACGTCTGGTTTTCAGTATTGTGGGAGGACAAAGAAAAGGGCGCGCGCACGCACACGCACGCACACCCACACACACACACACATACACGCACGCACCACACACACACACACACACACACACACACACACACACACACACACACACACACACACACACACACACACACACATATGCATGCACAAACATTTCACAATACATATTTTTGTTCTTACTATTCAAGTTATGAAAGTATGCAATAAAATTCCAGTCATGAAATACAACATGGTACACACAATTTACAAGCCATTATGGCTTCTTATTTAGATTCTCTAGGTATCTGTATATATCTGACCAGTGTTAAAGGAGATAAAAACCCCACCACCCCAAAAAGAGACTCTGCAGCACTGCTTCACACAAACTTGTCACATGACATCGCTTCCATCGCTGCTTTCATGTTCCCCCCCTACGCCACGCAGCGGCATACATGCAATCCGCGGAGTGAATATCCTGAGGTGATGTAGTCCTCCGTGCGCCCATCCAGGAATCCCCTGCCACTCTCACTCTCCACCTCCACCGGCTCGCGCAGCAGGCGGGTCAGCAGGCGGTACCGCAGCGAGCGCACCTTGCGGGATTCCTCGGCTCGGAAGGTCTGACCCAGCACGCCGTGAATGCCGCTCGTGTGCTGTAGAAATGAAGAGGGAAGGAGGGAACGACAGGAAGGGGGGAGATGGGTGAAGGTCTGACCCAGCACGCCGTGAATGCCGCTTGTGTGCTGCACACGGGGGAGAGAGAGGGAACGACAGGAAGGGGGAGAGGGGGGAGAGGGTGAAGGGAAGACGTTGCATGGGACAAAATGACAAAAACGGTACTGTACCAGGACAGCTATCATGGCAGCACCGCCCAGGCAAAGCACAGCCAACACATAGCAAACAATCAGAATGTTGCTCACATTGAGTCGGGCGATGTGCACATTGAAATGCGCCTGGGCCTCCGTAGCCGTCTGCATGAGTGGATGCGCCAAACGCGCTAAGATGCCCATGTCCACCAGGCCGTCGATCGTGAGATGAAACTCATCCTCGTCCTTCCCCTTGCAGCTCCGCGTCTCCGCCAGAAGCAGCTTGAACCCGCCGCTGCCAGCAACGAAAGATCCTTCGGACAGAGGCGGGGCCACCGGCGAGCCGTCGAGCTCCAGTCGGTCGATGAACCCGCTGCTGCCCCTCCCTTGCTCCTTGCCGTCGCGCGCCTTAATGAACGCTGAGTGATGCGCGCCAGTATCATCGCGCCACATCACTTGAAGCTCCCTGGAAGGCACAAAGCATAAAGGGTTGTGCAGCCATGAAGAAAAGGTGAGGCTCGTAACGACTCGTGCAGTCTCCTACAAACACGGCGCATGCTACCCAGAATGGCTACGAGTACATTATGGCGCATGCGCATCATCTACAATCACAGTGTCGCACACCTGATCCAGCTGCGAATCGGCTTTTCTTTCAGAAGCCTCGCCTTCAGCTCATGCTTCGCATACTGAATCGAATATTGCTCCTTCTCTTCCCCCCACCCCTGGCGCCATCTTCGCCGCTGCGACGACCCGTCTCCCTGTCAAGCGCCGCCACCACCTCATCAGTCCACGGCAGGCTCCCATTGGCCCGCATTCTCTCCAGCTCGCTCAGTTCCTCCACGCTCAGCCGTTCTTGTTCCAGCTGCCTGATATGACGTGGCTTCTTCTCATTGGCCGCCGCTTCCACCGCTGCAGCGAGCGACTCTTCGTCCAATGATGTCGCCGTGCCGGGGAGATTCGCGATGGGCTGGTAGCCCTTGATTCCCATGTTGATGTGGATCCGACGGTCGGAAACCAAGCAAAAGGAGCGGTCGAGAAGGCCGTTGAAGTCGTATTGGGTGCCGTCTGCGCCCCGGAAATGCGGATCGTCGTCCGTGTTGGCAAGGGGGTTGCACTCGCCACCCAGGAACGTTGGGAGGATGGGTATGTCCCAGTTCCGCACGGTAATGCCTGCCAATGAGCCCAGCAACGTGCATTGGCCACTGCCAGTGGTGTCACGGGGAGGGGGATAGGAAGTTAGCCGGCGGTTATAAGAGATGGGAAGCGGAGGCGTTGACAAAGTCACACACGGTGAAAAGCATTCTGAACTGAAGGAAAGAAGCTTGCTACACGGAGTGAGGGCAAGTACTTCATTCAAAGCTTTATCATCGCATGACAAGGATAACGAATATCAGTGGCACTGATGCTTACATCTCGCCATTCATTGAAGGTTTCAAATGCCAGAACCTGCAGCCCACCTTCTTGGCGCACTTCTGACAGCAATCCACAAACTGCCAAAGAGGAGAGACGGGAAAATACGGGGGCAAGTTAAAACAGAAGGTACACAGCCTCTCCACCTTTCTCGCGTTCTCATTGAACTGTAGTGATGCGCCGCCGAGCAGCCCTTGCTCAAAGTCAACGGAGAAAACGCAGCCATGCGATATTGGCGATGGGACAATAAATGACGGAAGGCACGACACGGAAGGCATGACGGAACGCAGCCTGCGATATTGGGGCTAAATCAATTATTACCCCGGTTGAATCCAAGGAGCCTACGACGTTTGCGGCCGCAGGGTCGAGAACGTAGCGCTCATAGTTGTAGTTCCTGAGAATGTGGTGCGGTCCCGACGCCCTCGTGTCTTTTGGTTTATTTATGTAGTACCCCAGCTTAAGCCTGTTGCACATCTTCCAACATCCGCGGGGTTGTGTCAAGGGGCCGTGAGGTTTGTCCTCGTCAGGATGCCTTGCTAGTACCGTCGGAGAAGGTGCTCCCAGAAGCACCGCAACGGACAAAAGCAGTAGCCACGATGTCGCTCCCGCGGCTCTTCTGCCAATGGCGAAACAGCCCGCATAGCCGCGTGTTTTCATGCTTGGATTTCAGACTTGGAACAAGGAAGTGCTGAAGCCTCCTTGCGGAACAGGATGGCGTAGGTCTGTCCAGTGACTGACTGGTGAACGACTAGTACTAGTAGTACTAACCCAGCAAGAAAGCTTTATGGGGTGTCTGGTGCCTTGAGTTCCAATCAAGAAAGTACAGTAAGAACATTGACTTTGAGCATCAACGCATCGCGGATTTGCGAATCGGGTCGAACTTGTTTGTTCGTACGATCTCTGAGAAAGTGTCCCAGCAGTGGAGTGGGTTGAGGGAAGGTTATTCACGTCAGATGAGCCACGTCGGATCAGATTGGCTTGACTTCACGCTCGATGACAAAAGTCATGCGAATTCTTTCATTGAATGGGGATCTGTCAAGGGCTTGACTGGGCATTGGCAACGTCACTCCAAGAGTGGAAAACGAATCCCTTGAAGGGGTTGGCGGAGCAGCCTTTGATCATTTTCAGGGTACTCTGTTTTTTGCCAAGCCGAGACCCATTTCGGATCGTTGTCATCCATTTCCCTCCCCATACGCACAAACTTCAGGACTGAGGTCGTGTCAGCGTCGTGTCAGCTGTGCTAGACCTGAGGTCTGTGATACGAGCCCAAATTGACCGTTGGTGCCTCTTTTCCAGGAGCCGGCAATGGGTGGGACTGGGTGTCTGACCTCAGCTGGACGGAGAGGCAGAGAACTGAAAAGCTGGTGGGAAAAGTGTCATTGAAGTGTTCAGGACTTTCGAGTGTTTAAAGTCTACACAAGAAATTTCACGATCATGGCGTTTCCCGACCTGGAATGCGGGAGAAAAGATGGGACGTCAGCGCAGGCTGCTGCTGGTCGTCTTTTCCCATGGCGTGATTTCATGGCTATCCCGCTCACGACCAGGCATGAAACTTCGTGCTAGGGTGTTTCCTTACAGCACTATTTCTGACTGATAATCTTTCAGATGTACAGTTTACCCATTTTGTGGCTAATCATCTTCCGAACATGATTTCGTAACCTTCTTAGGACGCTAGTTGGTCTTTATCGACGTATTTGCACTGTCACCTTTCGTATTTGCATTGCCGCCATCGACGGGGAATAAGAATTCGACAGGAGGAAACTGAGAATGAAAAACAGGTGGACCAGAAGACCAAGCAGATGCGACGGGTGTGGCCGAGTGACGAGAGAACTATGTGTTCACGAAAGTTTTACGACGAGCTGTAATCGCTAGGGCGATGTACGCGCATTCGTTTACTTCCAACAGCAGCACAAGGCATGTGCAAACAGATTACACTACAGTATCCTGGATGTGCAGGTCTCAGGCGAACAAAACAGAATATGAATGTTGACCGAAGGAACGACGACCCACGCGGAAAACCTGGCTGGGACTGTCCTGCGCACATGTTTGACATTTATCCTGGTGCGTTATGCACATCTTCAAGTACGCCCTAGAAAGACGACTACACAACGCTGGCTAGCATAACCCGACAATAGTCCATCTAAGAAGTAATTGTTTCAATTCTGTATTCTTGATGCCACACAATATGTTCAAACTCTCTCATCGGGTATGGTAGTGATTTTTATAAGGATCATGTTCTCTCTTTTTCAGTTCGTTATCTTTTCCTCCAGCAGACTAAACCAAACGAAGGCACTGTCCCATAGGGAAATCTCTTCCATGAACTAGGGACCCAGCTTATGCCCAACACCTTTGTTGTATCACATTTAGAGAATCAGTGCAGCTGCATATATAATCACAGTGTTGAGTATAGTAATGGGGAAGCAACAGGCTGCCACCAATTAGTTAACTACTACCGATGCAGCTTCGTCTTGGTGTGGAACCTTCCCATAGGCCTCCAGGTACTTTCGTTGGTGCACCCGCATGCAAACCCATAAGCCTTTGCAACAGTGATCGGCTATGTCCGCCACTTGTCGTGTCAATCGCTAAGCTCAGATAAGATCTTGCTTTGGTCGAGCCCAACTACTGTAATTCGGTGGGCGAAATATTTCTTCTCGACTACTGTCAGGGCGTGTTCCTTCGGCCCCTTATCAGGGGACCTCTTGTCAGGCTTGTGCGGTTCAATGCGTTTCAGTGCGATCAAATGTTATTAAGAGTGTTTCAGTGCGGTGCGACGCGAATCTGACAAGAGGTTCGCCTGATAAGAGGCTGTAGGAACACGCCCTAATTAGCGTACAATTTTCCGCCTTGAGTTCCCAACCAAGTCGCCACTACTTACCTCTGTTCACCACACTGAATCTACAAAAATCCCAACCACCTGTTCCAATTTTCGATCTCGTCACAACACAACCCCCTCTTCCCCGCTAGTCTACTACGATATTCCTTCATTAGCTCGCTGGACGCGTCCGTGGTAATTGTGAGGGCCCCGGTTTTTGCAGTTACAGGGCAGCGGGCCGAGCATTACTCGGACGAGCTTTTCTAAATGCTCGCCCGAGTTCCCTCTTATAAGGCGAGTAACGAGTTTCTGTTAGGGGGAAAAATGCTCGGTCGAGTATTACTCGACTCGGGCTCGTACTCGGCCGAACAATGCTAGGGACGAGTCGAGCATTACTCGGCTTGCCCCTTTGCACAGGTATACATGGCTTCTTGAATCATGCCTGGCTGAATTATGCCTGGCTGAATCATGCCTGGCTGAATTATGCCTGGCTGAATCATGCCTGGCTGAAATCATGCCTGGCTGAATCATGGCTGCCTGAATCATGCCAGGCTGAATCATGCCTGGCTGAATCATGGCTGCTTGAATCATGCCTGGCTGAATTATGCCTGGCTGAATCATGCCTGGCTGAATCATGCCTGCCTGAATCATGCCTGCCTGAATCATGCCTGGCTGAATCATGGCTGCCTGAATCATGCCAGGCTGAATCATGCCTGGCTGAATCATGCCAAGCTGAATCATGTCTGGCTGAATCATGCCTGGCTGAATCATGCCTGGCTAAATTATGCCTGCCTGAATCATGTTTTCCTGAATAATGCCTGAATCATGCATGGTTGAATCATGCCAGGATGAATCATGACTTGCAGAATCATGCCTGCCTAAATCATGCCTGGCTAAATCATGCCTGGCTAAATCATGCCTGGCTGAATCATGCCTGGTTGAATCATGCTTGGCTGAATCATGATTGGCTGAATCATGCCTGCCTGAATCATGCCTGCCTGAATCATGCCTGCCTGATTCATGTTAGCCTGAATCATGCCTGGCTGAATCATGCCTGGCTAAATTATGCCTGCCAGAATCATGCTTGCCTGAATCATGCCTGGCTTAATCTTGCCTGGCTGAATCATGCCTGGCTGGAACATGCCTGGTTGAATCATGCCTGCTTGAATGATGCCTGGCTGAAACATAAATGGCTGAACCATGCCTGGCTGAATCTTGCCTGATTCATTCATGCTTGGCTGAATCATGCCTGGCTGAATCATGCCTGGCTAAATCATGCCTCGCTGAATCATGCCTGGCTAAATCATGCCTGGCTAAATCATGCCTGGCTGAATCATGCCTGGTGAATCATGCCTGGCTGAATCATGCATGCCTGAATCATGCCTGCCTGAATCATGCCTGGCTGAATCATGTCTGGCTTGATCATGCCTGGCTGAATCATGCCCGGCTGAATCATGTCTGGCTGAATCATGCCTGCTGAATCATGCCTGGCTGAATCATGCATGCCTGAATCATGCCTGCCTGAATCATGCCTGGCTGAATCATGTCTGGCTTAATCATGCCTGGCTGAATCATCCCTGGCTGAATCATGTCTGGCTTAATCATGCCTGGCTGAATCATGCCTGGCTGAATCATGACTGGCTGAATCATTCCTGGCTGAATCATGCTTGGCTGAATCATGCCTGGCTAGATCATGCCTGGCTGAATCATGCCCGGCTGAATCATGCCTGGTTGAATCATGCGTGGCTGAAACATGCCTGGCTGGATCATGCCTGGCTGAATCATGGCTGCTTGAATCATGCCTGGCTGAATCATGCCTGGCTAATTTATGCCTGCCTGAATCATGCCTGCCTGAATCATGCCTGCCTGAATCATGCCTAGCACGGCAAATTCAGGCACAGGGGAATCAGGCACAAGAAATTCAGGCACAGGGAAGTCATCCTCAAAGCATTCAGCCTCAGACTGATCCAGGACTGACCCAATACTAACCTGAGAGTGACCTGAGATTGACCTGAGAGTGACCCAACAGTCAGCCAGCAATAACCTTTAAAGCCCACCTCCTTCTCTCTCTGTGTGCCTTTCTGGAGGACACGGCAACAGGGCATCCAACAGCCCAGCCATGCCTTGCCTCACCCATTGCCCAGACTCGCAAGTACCTACCAAGCAGCCCAATACCTTCACTCAAAAATACCCCTCAAAACACCCAGCTCCTTCTCCCTCTCCTCGCCCATGCAAAGCAGCTGCGATGGGTCAACCAGCACCTAGCTTCGCTTGCTACTGACCAGGTGACCCATTACTCGCCCACGTACTCTTCATCACGCACCTCCTTCTCCCACTGTTTGTCTTTCAAGAGGGAGACGGCCACGGGCACCTAACAGTCCAGCTTCGCCTGCAGCCTCTCGCGCACCTCTGGTATTGGTGTTTTCGTGGCTTACCCAACTGCATGGGCAAGCAAGGAAGGTGGTG